GGCGCGGCCATGGATCGATGCAAGAGAAAGAGGTTCTATTTATACGGTAATTTCTCCACTAATTTTTCGCTAATTTTTTTTACCAATTTTAGAAATAGGGGATTTTAAAATGCATAGACTCTTATTCTTCCTGCCACTGCCACGTTAGAAAACCAGTTGAATTAAAATGCACGTGACCAGTTCTCACCGGAAAAGTGGTCGGCGACGAGCAAAAAGACCTAATTGGTAATTTTAATCAATTAAAATATCTTAACGTCGATTTTTTATTTAAAATACCTTCTTGGCAAATTGAGTTGAAGTAAAATACCAATATGGGTATTTATACAGATTAAGTCATATATATATATATATAAGTATAATGTATAAGTATACTCTCTCTTATATATGTATAATATATGTATAAGTATATATAAGTATACTCTCTCTTATATATGTATAATATATGTGTGTATATATAAGTTTATATGTGTGTGTGTTTTTATGTATAATACAATTTGTTTATGTAATTACTATAAGTATTTACAATTTGTTTATGTATAATATATGTATATGTGTGTCAGTGTGTGTGTATATATATACATATACATATATTGAATGACATGAATACTTTGGGCTACTTAGTATATAAGTATATATAAATATAAGTATATTCTCTCTTATATATGTTTATATCTCTTATATAATTATATATATGTATAAGTATGCTCTCTCTTATATATATATTTATACTCTCTCTCTTAGTATATAAGTATATATAAGTATACTCCCTCTTATATAAGTATATATATATATATAAGTATACTCTCTCTGATATATGTATAATATATATGTATATATATATTTATACTCTTATATAAATATAATTATATATGTACATATAAGTTTATGTTTATATATATGTATAGATATATAAATATATATTTATACTATATATATATATTTATACTCTCTCTCTTAGTATATAAGTATATATAAGTATACTCCCTCTTATATAAGTATATATATATATATAAGTATACTCTCTCTGATATATGTATAATATATATGTATATATATATTTATACTCTTATATAAATATAATTATATATGTACATATAAGTTTATGTTTATATATATGTATAGATATATAAATATATATTTATACTCTTATATGTAGTTATACTATTATATAAATATACTTATATATGTACATGCTTCAAGGAGATAGCCCAAACATTCATGGAGGCGGAGCACCTGTGAAGAAGCTCGCCGCAATATATGAGGATATCTACTTTTCTGACAGATTGCTCTTCCCGGTTCCGTAGCCCTCCTTATCTTCTCTTTTGGTGGATTTGTTTCTGTGGTTTATTTTATCAGGTGTTCAATCACTTTGCTGTCGTTTCTTTTCTCTCTTTTCCTTTTTTCTTGTAGTCTGCTCTTTTGTGTGGGTGGAAACATGGGCGAATTGTTCTGATAGGTGACAACAAGGTTTGCTCCTTATCGCTCAATTCACTTCATGTTTCTTTCCTTTCACTTTTATAATCTGTGTGTAATCATAATTGTTAATATATATTTATATATATAATATGGAGAAACTTGGTGCAGAAGTTGCTGCCAAACCAACTGGTAGTGATGTGGCTAATTTCTACATCTACATTGGAGGTTGGTGAAGGGGTGGTTGAGGCTCTATATCTTGGAGGTGTGATGTAGGGGCAAGATTAAGACCTCACTACCAAGTTGTTTTAAAAAACTTTATACGCAAGTTCTCACATATTTCTCTCCCGTCCTCTGGTCTCTCTCAGAATCTCCTCTCTCTCTCTACTCATCTCTATATATAATAGAATAATACTATATACATATAATATATATATATATATATATATATTATATATATACTATATTATATATATAAATATAGTTATGTATATATATATTATGAACAGGAACTCTCCTGTCTTTCATCAAAAAATATATAATATAATGTACATATAAGTTATGTTTATATTATGATATATAATATATTATGTGTGTGTGTCGTGTAGTGTGTGTATGTACATATAGTTATGTTTATATACTGTATGGTATATATAACATATATATATATATATATTATATATTATATATTATTATATGATATTATATTATATAATATATAATGAGATTCAATGGCGTACACTTGGTCATAGGAGGATTTCCTCTTGGAAGCGCCTCTAATATCACATGATTAAGCGACATTTCGGGATTGATCGCTTCGTGACATTGATCTACAATATTCTAAAACCAACACACCAAAGTTTGGGGTGAACCGTCGTCGTTGACCCTTTCATCCACTCGTATCAATTTATACGACTTTGTGAATGAATAGAACTTTCACATGGCTCGATGGAGTCAAACTGACAACGGATTCAACCAACCCAACTTGGTGCTGTTGGGTTTTAGGAATTATGTGTAGATCAATTCAGGACGAGCGGATGTCATACCCACAATGTCGCTAATATTTGATTTTTAGAGGCGTCAATGAGGAACATCTCTCCTATGACAAGATACCCATTACTTCCTCTCTCGTGCTTCTCCTCTCATCTCTCCTCTCTCTCCATCTCATCTCTCTTCATCTTAATATAATATATATATACTATTATATAATATACTATATATAATATATATATATAATTTATATTTTTATATATATATGTTATGTATAATACAATTTGTTTATGTATAATATATGAATGACATGATATGATTTTAATAGAAAAAAGATTTTATCATCTTTTATTTTTATAATTTTTTATACTTGTAATTTATGTCATTTCAATTAATTAAAATAATTTATGTTATTTTTTGTAATTTTAAGGAATATTTTATGCTTTATCGTTTTTTGAAATTTAAAAAAATTAAAAATAAAAAACCGGGCCGGCCCGAAGCCCGGGCTTTGGTTTTGCCCGGGCTTCGGTTTTGCCCGGCCCGGGCCCGGTTTCCCAGGCCAGGCCAACCCCAGATGGACAAGTCTAGTTACAGTTAGGGATATATATTGACACGATCTTCCTAATCAAGAAACATACTGGTACTATTTCTACCTTATGTTAAGAAATTGGTATAGATGCCATTGTCTGGTCTACATCAACAACAAACCTCACAGAAAATAGCAACATTCCTACCTATATTTAGAAGTTACATCCAATCCATATCACCGTTGCACATCCAAAAAAAAGTCGCTTGCCTCTGACCTCAATGGAAACCTTAATGGCCTCTTATTCCAATCTTCATGCCAAAAGCAGCCATCCATATGAATTCCCCTACGAAAAAGAAGGCCACAGCTACATCTGCCGTCTATTTACCGCCCTCGTCTTCATCTTCATCCTCGTCGCAATCCTCGACAAAACTGCCAACATTGTTCTTCGCCCAAATTACCCCTCAGTCTTCGTCATCTCCGCCACCGTTTCCTCCTTCAAACTCTACCAGACTCCGAGAACCTACAGCAGCAGATTCGAATACGTCGGCCACCTGGCCTCGGCTTTCAACATCACATTCTCCGTCCAAAATCCAAATAGCCATATGGCAATATCTTATGATGACATCTACACCTCGGTTAAATATAGCTATGGTCTCGTTCAAGGTTGCGCGAGTCTGCCTGCATTTAAGCAGGAGAACAGGGATCGAACTAGCGTTTTGCTTTCCAGGGAAGACGATCATGAATTGATGCCAGGGTCTTTTGATAAGATCGCGAAGGGCCTCAAGGAGAATGATGGGATGTTGGAGTTTAAGGTAAGGTTCGAGGCGAAAATTCGATTCAGTAGGTTGATGTGGTTCCCGCGCAAAATGGAGGCATCTTGTTATGGTGTGAAGATCAGGTTTCCTAATGATACAGAGATGACAGGGCTAGGGGGGATCATGGTACCTCCCACTAGCTGTGATGTTCAATTGTCAAGGCTTTAGAGCACAATGTACGCTTCTTTAGTTTTTCCTTGGATGATTTATTACTCTGGGTTAGTTTCGTGATACATGTACTTGATCAGTTTGGGATTTGTAGGTGACTTCTATAACATGTCAACGCTGAGTATTTAACATTTTCATGACATGTTAGTTACAAAATGTCATTTTGTAACTAATTCATCTCATGACATCATCCTGTGATCTCAAATAAACCAAATCTTCATCTAGTGTTGTAGCGAACCCCCCCTATCAAAACTTTAGAACAATACAACGAGCACATGCGGTAAAGTCCAGTCAAAAACCAAATAGTTAAGGTTTTGATGCATCTGAGTACACTTTGTACACATGCTGCCGTAGCTCAAAGGACTATTGAGGGGCAGACTTTGAGCAAAGGATGTTACAGACCAGGGACAAATTCTCCATCTCATGGTTTTAAAAAAACAACTGAATAAAATCTACACATGATGTTAATGTACTTCAAAAATAAAATTTTGGGCTACAGTAGACCAGAAACCTTGTTACCAATTTCAAGGGATTTCTTGGTAGCCTGATCTTATAGTAGTATTTGCAAGTCTTTTTTGGCATCTGGGTGATGAAATAGATTGAATATGTTTGCGAGGCTACCATGAAATCTAAGCCACCCCTGCACATTCTAAACTGAATATGAATCAGAAAACAAAACAAGACCGGGCAACAGGTATTCTTCATTTTTTGAAGCTTTCTTTATCGCGATTTTGTAAATGTTCTCTAACAAGCAAGATTTCAAGTATAAACATATATCGCATGTTTCACTTGCGAAGGGTTTTTTTCAAAACCTGCATTTCTCTCAGGTCTTATTATTCGCTGCCTTCTTTGCTGCAAACAGCTGCTTTAGGAAAGAAAGCTTGTGTCCTTTGCGAGGAGATGAAGTGGAAGTAGGTGTGATTATGCTGTTTCCATTACTAATTACACCAGGTTGAACAGCCTCAGGTTCAGGAGGAGACAGTGGAGGAAGAGTGAAAAGAAACGCATTTAGCATGCGTATTATCTGGCTGAAGCTTGGGCGGGAATTTGGGTCCTCAACCCAGCACGACTGCACTATAAACACGAGCTCTGGAGGCACATCTTCTGGAAATGGAGGCCGCACTTGCTTTCAAGATTTCACCCAGAATCACAAATAAAGTCAGTTCATAGTACTACAAGTTAAGGAACAATTGTATATGGTTAAAAACAACGTTCATGCAGGCAGTATTTTACACGATGATGTAACTATGCTCCACTAGTTGAGTTTGGGTGTGCTATGAATCTCATAGTGCATAGAACTTCGGATTGACAAAGTGGTAACACAAAATCATGCACCAAATCGATTTTAACGTAACTTACTCCGGGATACAGTTCATAGCAGTTAGCCACCCTAAACGAGGCCCAGAAGTTATTTATCACATCAAAGAACAGTTTACAAAATTGCAAACTTTCATTCAGTTTTGAGTTAACTGACAGTATAGTCACCAAAAATTAGGATCTATGTGATATGTTAAACAGTATGGAGGAGATATCCATATGAATGAAGGTAATATAAACAGATAATTATACAGTCGCTTATAGGTAACTCATCTTTTAGGATTTTTGCTGTGAATTACACTGGCACTGTGGTGATCATTTGGTTCTATCTGCACTGTGTCATGCAACTAATAGAAGTGTCTAAGTTTTCGGCTCTCGTACACAAAAATATTGCAGTCCATCTCGGTTTCCCAGGTTAACCACTTATTCGTTATTCAATTTTTTTCCCCACCGATATTTCAAAGGGCCTTTTCATCATATAACCACATAGGGAAGAGTTTCAAAAGAAAATTGAATTGTTTAATCTTATTCGTGACAACTTCGTCACCAGCATTCGTCAAATTTTCCCTAAAAATGGTGTCAGCTGTGGAGCACATTGCTCTGGGAAAGGTTTAACAAGACTTTGACGACTGACTATCCAGGGACACGGTATTTCATAATAATAAATACCATTTTTGTCTAATATGAACTCGAATTCTAGATAAGCACTTGTATTAGTAGAAGTGCTAATTATTCTCTGACAGTGAGTAGTAATGCTCTAGCAAAACTTCCTAACTCAAGTCCAATTCAAGACTCAATTACATGTGGGTCTATAAGAAACACACGGGCACAGGACATGCATATGAAAACATGAGAGTAGAATTATATAATTTCATACGAAAGGCCTATAGTCAGTAGTCTTGTGAACGTTATATTTATTTTCTAAGACAACAATAGCAGCAGTGGAGATGAAATAAATGGTTAGCGATATTCACCTTAAAAGCAGCAGCATACGCAGCCTGCAAGTTTGACATGCCTTCAAATGGCATGCGGTTCGTCAGTAGCTCCCACATGACAATGCCAAAGCTGTACACATCAACCTTATTTGTGTAATGCTTCTTCTCACCACGACGAAGTGTTACAGTGCTGTATAACTGCAAGGTGCCATAAATTTAATAAGGGCTGTTTGCAAAGAGAAAAGAAAGATGAATGGGCTTCCAAAAAAATAAAGAGAGCAGTTAAACTTAAAAGAACACTAGAGAAGAGTGCTCGCAGATTGAAAAGTGGGATGTACACAACCAATATGCATATCAGAATATCATTAAAAAGGAAAATGGAACTGATATAGCAGGGCTACAAACTCAAGATACGACATAACTCCAAAAAAAGTAGTAATCTAATTCAAAGCCAATGGAAGATTTTAATTGGTTAGAGGAAAGACCCATTCAGCAACATGCAAAACACAGATTTGTCATCTGTCTCACTTAAATACATTCATAGTTGCATTTATAGGCTTTTTCCTGTTTCTCCTTCGTAGTGCTTTGTGCATAAATTTGATCATATATTTGCGATCTATATTGATGTGTGCTTGAATACTTGACTATTTCACATTGATCTATATATCTGATAGTAAGTGTAACAGTATACGACACAATGAGATACGGGGGGGAAATGATAAACAATACATATTCCATTTCCACAGACTTTGAACAAGATAATGCATGACTATTGGACATTAGTCAAATGGTTACTAAAATATCACCAAGTGACTTAACATGCAATGAAAAGCTAAAACAAAATAGAACTGGATACACGAATATCTGAAAACAGCCAGTGAATACTACCTCTGGAGCCATCCAACGGTAAGTCCCAGTTTCAGCAGTCATCATCTCAGTTACGGTTTCTTCTCTTGCAAGTCCAAAATCAATAAGTTTAATGTTCTTCTGGTTTGCTGTAAGCAATAAGTTATCTGCAAATTTGAATATTCTTAATAAGCAAGTATATATTGTGCAACAAAAATTTATGACCAGAGAAATCTTACAGGAAAAATTGACATCGGATCAAATAAAAAGGTACATAAATCTGCAATAGGATTCACCCAAGAAATTTCTAAACCGCATCAAAGAATTTAATAACCTCCATGCATGTTACTTGTACAGAAATAGAAGCCTAATTATATTGTAAGCCCATATCATCTAAACTAAGCCCAGAAAAAGCTTAGAACACTATCCTTATAGCAAAGGTAAGTTCTAAGTTAAAATTTGTAACTGGTTTGATTACCAACCTTAGTCCTGAAGGATGCTCTATATATAGTACTCATCTTTGCTTAGAACTAGCACATATTGCAGAATTGTGTTTCAATAAGGCAATAACTTTTTTCCCTCTTGAGATATCAACCGCACCTAGAATTAATAACACGCCAAATACGTGAGATAGGAGGGCCAGTAAAATCTTCTTCTAGGAGACTCTAGCAGCAAAAGGAGAAAGATCTAGAGCATCTAAAATTCCAATAAAATTTAAACACCAGCGTAAATGGCTCGGATATTTCTACTAGAGTTTCCAGGAACAAAATATCCTATTTGAACATGAAGACGAATATAGTTTGAGAATATAAGAAGGAATAAAAAAATATGACAATTTCTTTGGCATAAATCAGTCATTCATCTGAAAGAAATAGTAAGGTTGCCAACATAGAAAACCTCACAACGATGTCAGCAAGAAATCTATTTCTCATTCTCCACAGCGTCCTAGCAAAGACAACCTTTTGCCTTATGAAAACCAATTTTTTGGAGAAAGAAATAACCACATCCTAATTGAGCATATTATGAAAAGAATCTGCCTCAAAGGATTTTTTCCCCCTCCGAGTACTGGATTTCCCTAGAATGAACAGTTGTTTCTTGGCTAATCAATAGATAAGGAAATAAATCTAGCCAAGCGCAAAAAGTTAAATAATAATGATGTTAAATTACTATAATCACCAAATCCCTTGTGCTATTTTTAACCTCATAGGTAACCGGTGTTTAGACCACTCGCCAGGAAAAAAAAAATAAGAAAACGTCTAATATCTTATATATTATTGGGTTTAACATGAAACTGGTATAAGGTTAGCCAAACATCTTGAAACTCCTAGGCAAGTTGCATTCCCTAATTTTCCTTGTTTATTCTACTTTTTATTTCTTTCTTTGCTTTTTTTTAACTGTTAATCTCTTGCAGCGGAACATACAATGTCACACCATAAAAATATGTTGTATCCACATATAACTATATTAAATAATTGCATCCTTTGTTTATCATCAGTCAAAAAAGCACATTAAGAAAATGTGTCATTCATTCAACTCTGTTTGAGTTTCATTCTTATATATTTTCATAATCTCAACAGTGTAACTAGTGAATGAAGTGATACATATTTGTTGCACCTGAGTAACTAAGGTTATCTTTAGTAACCTGGTCAAAGTGGATTATAATCCACTTTTGCATGTTTGGTAACAACATTTTGGGTGGATTATTTTGGATTATAATCCACCAAAAAATAACCTAGAATTCTTAGGTTATTTTTTCGGTGGACTAATATCCACATATTTGACCTAGAAAATGACAAAAAGGCCCAATACTTTTTTACATCCCTATCTTTTCCCTTCTCTCTCCTTCCACTTTTTTAAGCTTTTTTACTCATTTGAAACAAAAGCGCATGGATTATAAACCATCCTCTTTACCAAACACCCAAATTTTAAGCCATTACAGTCATAATCTACTAAAGGATTATAACCCAAGTGGAATATAACCTAGGATTGCCAAACATGCTCTAACTGTAGACACATTGTTGTTTTTCGAAATACAAGTCAGATTTTTACCAGGTTTTAAATCTCGGTGTATTATCCCATTAGCATGTAGGCAATCCATTGCACGTGCAATATCAAGTGCAAAGCTAATTGCTGTTCGAACATCAAGTTGTTTCGGGCGAATACTATTCAAGTAATTTTTCAGCGACATTCCAGGTAGCAGCTCCGCGGCAATCACCATGATAGGGTCCATGCAAGCACCAATGAACTGTGAAATACAAAAAGACATGTGATCAACCAATCAGGGAAAGAAAACAATAGTTGACCAAAAACAATAGTTGACCAAAAACAAAGTTCTCTGCAGAAGTGTGCATATGATCAGGACACAGTATGGCAATAAGTGTTAGATTAGTTATCTAAATGCTCCGTAGGGCATGCTAAGTGCACTGAGAAGAATTCAATGCAAGGTTATCGATAGCGGATAGCGTCGCGTAGCGGTGAGGCATCGCTAAGGCTATTTCGGGCTATTACGGCAAAATAACGGTAAAAAGCGCAAAGTCAAATAACGGTCTAATTTAAATATGTATAAATACTAAAAAAGAAAAATTAAAAAAAATCTAAGAAATCTAAAAGTACATATTGGATGATTTAAAGAGATCCTAAACATGAAATAAACATGTAACCATCACGTAATACCGAAGATGACTGGATGAGTCAAAAAGTCATCGTCTTCGAGAAGAAGAGCTTAGCGGTGGCAAGACTGTCCTAAGAGGAGCTCACGGTGAAGGAGGTGAGGGAAAATATCAAGGTAGGTGTCAAAGGGTATGAGAGGTGGCGGGAGTATGCTGAAAATCACAGGAGACGGTGGAATATAATGGTCAAGGGTTGAGTTTAATTTTAAAAAAATAAGCCTCAAACCGTTTTAAATAGCAGTCAAAAAGCAAATTTCGAATGTAATCGCTCACTATTTACTGTTATGACACACTATTGACAGCTTTTACGAACAGACATATTCCGCAATATGTCACCGCTATTACGCGATAGCTTAGCGGGCGATAACGTCGTGGGAATGGACCGCTAACGCTATTAGCACCGCTATTGCGGGGCTATTTACCGCTATTTATAACAGTGATTCAATGTGAACAATGATATGACATAATACAGGTAGGAAACACACCTTCACAAGATTTTCATGCTTCACTCGACACATCATATTAACTTCTCGAATGAACCGACTTCTAAGGGTTGACTTTTCTTCCGGTGTATCACCACTATTAAGAACTTTGATAGCTACTATTTGATCGCCATACCTGAGAAAGTGTAAAGAGCAAAAGAACTTATTTCAATTTTTTTATTAAAACACAACATATATATTTAAGCATTACAAAGATTCTGAACAATTCAGTACATAGAAAAGGAACTCCAGATAGGCCGAGACATCCATAACATGAGTCCATCATACATCCCTTCAGTAGATTCAGTGGAAGAAAGAAAGGAGTCATAAGCAATCACTTGAAACCACAATTGTCGTTATCAAGCCACCATAATTGAAAATCCAAAAATTTACAGAACATTTAAACTCAAAAAGAATAATAATAAAAACTGTATAAAATTGTGTGAAATCTACGAGTTGTCGTTAAGAATATTGCAAGTTTGCTTGAATCTTAACATTGTCACAGGAAACATGATTTTCGAGAGTCAAAAATAGGAACTTACAAAACACCAGCGAAAGCATAAATATGGACAAAAATATGTCAAGTCCATGCATACAATGGGTAGCCTAAATCATTCCTATATGGTCAAACTTGATGTCTTGCATTTGATACCTCCATTATTGCTATGTAACATGATATCTTCAAAAGCTTGCATCCATTTATCTTTTCTTCTTCTTTTTTTTGAGGTGGGTCCTTGCACCAGCTTATGATACAAACAGATGAGGAAACTAGTATTGATTTGTCTTGTCTGATGCGTCAATAAAGAAGGTTAGATGCTTCTTATGATGTTTCAACCAGAATTATGTCGAACAGACACTTCCATCATGAAGTTGTGTCATATAGGGCTAAACTACCAAATTGGTATTTTTAAAAAACTCATTTTACCGCTTTGGTATTTAAAATATCTCCGATGACATTTGGGTATGCGTCAACAAAGAAGGCTAGAGACATGCATCATATGTTTCTTTTAACATAAATGTGTATCATGTCCATGTCAGCATATCCTTATTATGTCCATGTCAGCATATCCTTATTCATCCAACATATAGGGGTAAACTACCAAATTGGTATGTAAAAAAAAAACTCATTTTACCGCTTTGATATTTTTTAAAATATCTCCGATGACGTTTGGGTATTTAAAGTAGGTTTAATTTAGTGTATAGGTCCAAAATATCATTGGCGTTATTTTTTCCGACCGGAAAATTATTTCCCACCTACTAGCTTCTTAAAGTTTGTGTTTGTTCTTCACCTTCTTCTTCCCAAATTTAAAGTTTTTTTAGTCATCCTCCCTTCAACCTCTCTTTCTCTCTAATCAATGGAGTCTCAACCTCTCATCTCATCAATAGTTAGCGCTTCAACCTCTCATCTCATCAATAGTTGTCATAAACATTAGTAGAGAGTGCAAATTCATTTCCAATTGCATCATACTTATAACTAAGTATTATGAGATTGTGAGAAAACACTGAACTAGGATTTCATGTCCAAGATACCAACATCCTCCAATTTCCAAAGAGATCTACTATTAGGTCTATCAATAATGGGCAAAATCTCAAACTTTGGCCACCTCATCTTCCCCCTCCGCAGCGTTCTCATCCTCGAAACCATCGCCAACCTCGGCCTCATCTACTTCATGTTCACCGTCGGCATCGAGATTAAAAGAGGGATGTTTATCCTCTTCTATATTTCTTTTTCTTCTTTTCCTTCTTGTAGCTGCAACAGCATTCTCACCCGCGAGTGCCTACATTGATGAGAGGTTGACTGAGGAATGGCTAAAAAAATTTTGAATATTGGAAAAAGAAGGTGACGGTTGTAAAATACAAACTTCAAGAGGTCAAAGGGTGGGAAGAAATTCTCCCGTTGGAAAAATTAATGCTCATGATATTTTGGACTAATGCGCTAACTTAAATTCACTTTAAATACCTAAACGTCATCGGAGATATTTTAAATACCAAAACAGTAAAATAGTTCTTTTTTAACTATCAATTTGATAGTTTAGCCACCGATATAGTCTCAACTTTCAATCATAGATAATGTTAAACAAGTGAAAAATCGGGCGGTGTATTGATATCAAGAAAGGTGAAATAAATCCCATGAAAACCTACTAGAGAGAAAAAGTGATGATGAAACTACAAGAGTAGTATTGGACCTATTTTCATGGCTAGTAGGTGAGCAATTAGCCTATCCTAAAACAAAAAAAAAGCATCAATAATCACAGAAGACTTCAACATCTATTAAAGCCTACCAAAATTGCAAGAGGACATCATAACAAAAAGCTATTATTGTAAAATGTAAATAAGATCCTAAAGGCTTCATACTATAAAAGAATGAGCGAAAACACTGAGAAAGGCCTCAAACTAGCTTCAACCTAAGTTGCATGGAAACAGATATGGGTACTGGTACGGGTACGGGTAAGGGACACGATAAAATTGTAAAATGTAGGGTACGGGGACATGGCTACATATATATATATATATTCCGATTATATTTTTGAGTTTCTTTTATCATATTGATTATTGTGAATTGTAAATTACTAGACATCTAAACAACCCATTAACTATATAGTTTTGAACTTGGGTATGGACTAAAATGAACTCGACCCGTATCTCATTAGTTTCAAAAGACGGATGTGAAGTGTAATCTTTACGTCCAGGAAGTCTTTGACAAGTGTTTTAAATTAACATATATATCGTATAATTGAGTACATGTTGTAATAAATACACGCATATATTCAAGAAGTGTCCATGAAGTTTGGGTATGAGAAAGTGTCGGGTACGTGTCTGGTACGGGTACAGCTTCATTATAGAAATACCCGGGTAACATAGGCTTCAACCAACCAATAACTCCTCTAGGTTTTAGAAAGAGCCTTCAAATCTCAAGGACTAATTCTTCAATTCTTCTTCGCTACTATACACACTCTTGATCAGATGATTTTTCTTTCACAAACTTCAAGTACACTCAGTAATAAGCTTCGACCTTGGCATGAAATTGACAGCAATGATTATATTCCTCAAGATGTACTTTCCTAGCATACTAAATATAACATCTTATTACAGCCCTTGCAAGTGTGTAGTCCGGTAAAACTTCTTTTCCCTCATGACCGACATCAAATTTCATGCCACTTTTAACATGATGCAAAATAATTTGGGTATTTGACTTAATAATCATTAACCCACAAATTCAATGATCCTTCTACTTAAGCCAAATCTTCCAAGCTTTGACTTGTGATAATTCCTTGAGAGCTATATCACGATACATTCTTGATACCTTTCTCCAATTATTGTCATCCGCTTTATTCTCAAACATCTTGATGGGCCATGAGATAATATCAGTATATTTACAAGTGCACTAGAAACTAATAATTCATGCATTGGTCAGTGGTGAGTAGAGCACAATCGGTTGAGCCAGTGTTCACAAACAGAAAGCTTGAAATAGGGTCTATTTGATACTCATATTGATTAAAATGTTCTAAGAAAATACAATTTAAGCACAACAATCAACAACTTGATATGGATCAATGTTGATCAAGTTAAGATCTCCAAGCTTCAAAATGGTTAACCAACACTAGAAGATCGCAACATAAAGCCACATGTCCAGAAAGAACACCAATGCGTACAATAAATATACATTTTAATTAGAAATAATGGTAGTCTAAACTCCATAGTCCATATAGCCTAAAGATCTCCTTGACGAGGGAACATAAAGGGAACCAAAGCATCTTTCAGTATCATCTTTAACCTCAATAGTCCTTAGCAATAACAACGCAACCATACTTGCCTACTTGGCCATTGTGACTAAATGAAAAAGGAATGAGAATGTTGCCTCTCTGGAGCTAGCCTATAAGGGTAGGCATTGAATTCCTGCCGCCAATCTGAATATCTCAGCCATTCCCAAACTGTCATGCCCCTTTATTGATTAGTAAAGACTCGTAGCAATGTTCTACATTCAATAAATTTGTCTCCTACAGTAGTATTTGAGAAAAATGAATATGCAAGGGAATATCGTTGAAACATATCATCAATAATCAAGTGAAAAATCAAAGTGAGAAATGAAGGAGTTGGAAATTTCATGCGGGAGTAAGTAATTTGTGGTTGTCCACAGAAAATAATACAAACCGTTGCAAATGTTGAAATTGGAAGGCATACAGATTAACCAGGCATCAAGTTTCAACATAAATACTGACATGTATATTACCGAATACCGATAACAAATATACGAGGATGTAACGATCAGATAATGAAAAAAGCAAAGGAATTGGTCAAGATTTGCAACTTACTTCCCCTCATAGACTTTCCCATGAGCTCCCTCCCCAATTTTCACTCCAATAAATAACTTTTTCGGGTCAATCATCACCCTCTCATCGATCCCATTCAGTGAAGTTTCAGATACCCCATTCCTCTCATTTCTTGTCCCGCTCGGTGAGCTGTGAGCGCTCTCACTCTTCCCATTTCTGCTCCCACTCGATGAGCTGTGCGAGCTCTCATTCTTCCCATTCCTAATCGAGTGTCTCCCCAGCTGTATCGAATCATCCGCTACCTTGCTCGATCCCGGCCTCTTAAACTCCTCACCCTCTCTGCTCTTATCACAACAACTCATACTTGAATTCCCAAAGCTCATAAAACATTCAAAAGCTCAACCTTTACACAAAATCACACTTCTCCTCATCAATTCCTTCAAAATAACAAAGGAATCACGATCAATTCCTTCCCTCATAAACTGAAAACTTCACTTCCCCCCCTTCAAGAACCACATCAAAAGCCCTACTTTCACCAAACCACAACAAATCTCATATTTCAACAACAATACAATCATCAAAGCCCCGGTCCCAATCCAATCCGCAGCATCAAGACAATCGAACAGAAGACAAGGAAACTTACAGTGATTCCAGTTACCTCAGCTCGACTCCTCTGCTCTTCAAGCTTCAATTTCTCTTCGGATCACTTCAAAACCCTAACCCTAAACTTCTTTTTTTTTGCGCCCCCCTTTCCTTTTTGTCTCTCTTTGTTGAGTGGAAAAAAGAGAAAGTAGGGAAGAAACGTATCGCAGAAGATTTGGGGAGCATCGGTTCTACCGCAAGCGGAAGTCGCTCTCTTTATACCGTGACAAAACAACAGGAGAAGCTTCACATTGGGTGGGAGCACGATCCGCCAACTATGTCGCGACACGTGTCCCCACCGAGGAGAGGGGAGGGGTTGAAGAAATATCCTGTGGGGCCCGCTCCCGGAGGGCGTGCCGGTCACGTGTGGGCGGGGATCGAGGAGGTCGGATTCGGAGCGGGGAAGAATCAAAGCGGCCGACGATGTTGACCCGCCTCGATGTGGGCCCGGCGGGTAGTTGGGGAGGAATAGTCGTTGACTTAACGGGTTGGATTGGGACGTGGGGGCTGATTAAGTGCCAAAGTCCTGTGCGGACATTTTGACTGTTGGAAATTATTTTACTGCTTTTTATTTTTAAGTTTTTTATAATGTACGTGACTGTTGAAATTATAAAGCTCCGGATGGGAAAATTGCAAAAAACTGGGCTAGTTTTGGGCATGATTTAGTTTTAAGTTAAATTTCTCCACGATCAAAGTAGACTCGGTTTAATGGTCTTTTTTTTTTTGCCTGGAAAATGCTAGGCTAGTTTTGGTTCGGTTTTTCCCAATCTGAATTCTTCTCAAAATTGGACTAATTAAGAACCTCGTCTAAGTTTGAGAGATTGCCAAATAAAAGGTTTTGAGTGTGTTTAGTAAAAAGTTGACCGTGTATAGACCATTTGTACTATCGCCTAATTACGGATAAATCCCTCTTAGTTATATTATTGTATATAAGCCTCTTTATACTCTCACCCAATTGAGAATATAGTCCCTGAATGATTTTTTTTCCCAACCTTTCTACAGGAGATTTATTTCTTAAAAATTAATTTTCTCTTTCGCCGGGGAATAATAGTCAAAAAATTCACTTAGGGGTCTTTCTGCAATAATCGAACTGGAGATTCTATACACAACTGGGAAATCATACAAAGGATGTATCCGCAACTAATCCTTAAGTAAAATTTAATCTAATACTTATTTGGTAAAATTTTGCATAACTATTTTCTTTTACTCTCCCTCTCCTTGACCCCAATCTAGGGCTGTCCATTTTACCCGCCGGCCCGGGCCCGGCCCGGAGCCCGGCCCGGCCCGGCCCCGGCCCGGCCGGGTTCCGGGCCCGAGGGGGGTTTTCATTTGTTTTCTTCACACCAAAAACTCATCTCTTCTCTCTTATACTCTTATACTCTCTCTTATACTCTTATACTCTTATTTATACATTCTAATCCTTTCATCAAATGGCTTCCGGATCTGATTATGAAGAGCAAAACATATCTCCTGATCCTGAAATGAGTCCTCCTACTATGAGTCCTCCTACTATCAGTCCTCCTACCGAAGTTAATCCCGAATCCGGTGGCGACGAATCTGCACCAAGAGCTCCTAAACGGTCAAGATCCGATGTGTGGAATTTTTACGAGAAGATCGACGTCACCAGGGATGAACACGGTAGGATCCTCGCCCAGAAGGCTAAGTGTGCTTTGTGCGGTAAGATTTTTCAAGCTCATCATAAGAGCGGCACCAACCACCTCAAACGTCATTTAGATAAACACAACAAAGGCCAGACTCCTCAAGGTGATATCCGACAATCCATGATTTCTCAATCCTCCTCTTTTGGTAGTCTCGGTAGTTGGAACTATGACGCTGCCAGAGCCAGGAAATGCGTAATCAGGTTTATCATTCTTAAAAACCTTCCTTTTAAATTAGTAGAAGATGATGAATTTGAAGATATGTTTAGAGATGGTTTTTATCCTGCATTTAAAAAATTTTCTCGTCAAACCTGTCAACGTGATATTTTAAAATATTATCAGGAGGAACAAGGAAAAATAATTTCTTATTTTAAAAATTTAAACTGCAAATTTTCTTTAACTTCTGATATTTGGACATCTAGAGCACAAACTGGATATTTATGTATCACAGCACACTGGATTGATGAAAATTGGCAAATGTTTAAAAGAGTTGTTTCTTTTATTGTAATAGCGGAGTCACATACTGGTATTAATGTTGCAAATTTAATAATTGAAGAACTTATGAAATTAGAAATTTCAGAAAGAATATTTTCTCTTTCACTAGATAATGCAAGTAATAACAATGTAGCTGTTGATTTTATCAGATCATCTTTATCATTGCCATGTCATGGTGATCTTTTTCATATTAGGTGCATCTGTCATATTTTAAATTTAATTGTTCAAAGTGCATTTACTGAAATTAAACCCATGATAGAAAAGGTTAGAACAGTTGCTTACATGCATAGTGCTTCTGAACAAAGACTTAAAAGATGGAAACAATTTTGTAAAAGAAAAAATGTAAAGCCTAGACTAATTCCAAAAGATGTTGACCATAGGTGGAATTCCACATATGCAATGTTAAGTGTAGCAATAGAATATAAAGACATTATAACTGATTTTATAAACTATTATGCTTCTAGTTCTAGTTCTGGTAGCACTTATGGAATAACTGAAGATGAATGGACAGTTATATGTAATTTAAATGAAATGTTACAAGTTTTTTATGATGCTACCATGTTATTATCTGGCTGTTATTATCCAACCATTACTTTAGCTGCTTTACAAATTTTAAATATTCAAAATTTTTTTGATAAATATCGTTTGGATGCTACTTTTGGACCTATGGTTTTTGAAATGGAGAGCAAATTTAATAAGTATTTTAGGCCTATTCCTCATATTTTTGGTTTGGGGGTTCTTATTGATCCATGCTTGAAGGATATTGGCCTTCGAAGTTTGTTACAGTCATTGTATGGTGGACAGGTTATAGACTTAGATGATGGAACCACCCTGAATGCTACTACTCATCATTTACTTATTAGAAATTATTTTCAAACTTTATATGATGAGTATGCAGCTAGACATGGTGTAGCTGCACAACAGTCTGCAGCTTCGGTTTCTTCGAGCTCATCCCGAGCCCGAGGTAAAAGTGTAAGTTTTGATAGGTATGCAATGGTAGCCGAGCTAACTGGTGGATCTGGACTTGGATCGTCATCATCGGAGGTTTCTGAAATAGATGAATATTTTTCTGCTTCTTTAGTTAGATGTCAAGGAAATGCTTTAGATATTTTGCAATGGTGGAAAGTATATGGATCAGTTTCATATCCTATACTTTCCACCATGGTTCGTGACTTACTAACAGTGCAGGTTTCGACGGTAGCTTCGGAATCCGCCTTCAGCACAGCAGGTCGTTTGATCGACGATCACAGGACATGCTTGGATCCATATACTGTACAAGCGGTGATGTGCCTACAAGATTGGTGGAGGTACGAGAAGCGAACGCAAGGCATCGATCGGATGGCTGGAATTGAAGATAAATTTGAAGAATTGGGACTAGCAGATAGATATAAAGAATAGATTAGATAAATTTGAAGAATTAGGACTAGCAGATAGATATAAAGAATAGATTGTAGTTTTTATATCTTAGCTTAAAATTTGTAAAGAATTATTTTGGAAATAATTGCAAATGATAGTGATATAGGTGAGTAGGTGCCAACCTAGTTGGGATTTACTTATCTATTGTGATGCGATTAATTCCAAAATAAATTTGTACTTGTAATTTGTAAATGATTTATTAATTATTAATAAAGAATTTGTTTTTATCATTTTTTATTTATAATTTATGTCATTTTAAGTAATTAATAAAATTATTGTTTTTATTATTTTTCTTGTCTTTTTTTTATAATTTATAATTTAAATAACATAAAAAATTTAGAAAAAAAAATAAAAAAAATAAAAAAAAAGAAAATCACCCGGGCCAGCCTGGAACCCGGCCCGGTCGGGCCCGGGTCCGGGTCCGGGTCCCGGTTTTGCCCGGCCCGGTTGGACAGGCCTACCCCAGTCGATTGTCAACGACAACCATCGTATCATTGCCTTCCGGCCCTTCCTCGCCCTCTTTCTGTTTTTATCTAATTAAAGTGTATTTAGATTTTAATTTAATTAGGATTAAATTAGAATTGTTAATTGAATAAATAGAGGGTTAATTTAAAAAGGGATATTTTGATTTAAAAAGGGATATTGCATGAATCTACTAATTTAGAATAAAGGATCAGTTTCTTTAAGTTATAGTAAGCTTTATAGCACAAGAAGGAAGAGACCAAGGATGAAAATAGATGAAGCAAAAAGGGTGCATTTTCGGGCGAGAGAAACGATGGTGGGAGAAAGTGTGCCGCGAGCATGAGCGAACTCTTTTGAAAGAGAGGAGGGGTGCGATACTAGGTTACTTCAGATAAATCAATCTACTATATAATATTTGATTTACCTTTGCGAATCTTTAATTTCATGTGGATCCCACTCTTCAACTACTTTCATTCTATTTCTGAGGCATGTAGGGCGGAAAAAATTAAGAAATAGGAGCACCACATAAGCGTCGCGTCAACATTTAAGAAAGTAGAAGAAGTAGTCTTTCTGAATAAAAAACATAAATTGTTTAAAAAAAAGTGGCGAAGTAATATTTTTTCTTCCTCTACTTTAGCTACTTCGTAGCTATTATGTGCAAACAAATATATATGCCCTAAATCAACCAACATCATTCAGGGGAATCCATTGAAAATTGTAGAATTTTTTGGGGGGTTATGTGACACACACCAAAGTTTTGCAGGTGTCTAATTTTCAAAAAAAAAAAAAAACTTTTTTTGGAGCTTCCCTCAGACCCAAACTTCTTAAGGGGTTTGCAAAATTTTACCCTACCAATAACCTAGTGTGGTCAAGGATAGAAAGTCACTAGTACATATGGCTCAATTTTCATTTGCTGCATTTCAATTTGTTTTCATATGAGTTAGGTATGTACTAACACAATCTAGGCCCCTGGTGTGAGTTAGGCACGTGATAGCACAACCTAGGAGTAGGGACCAAAGACTAACTTCAAATGGCAGGGCTTGCTTGGCAACTTGTTCATGAATCAGGCTAATAAAGTTAACTTGGTTAAGAGCTTAAAATGTGTGAGACAAAAACTTATCTAAAATTAGAGTAATTTTTTTAGTTCAAAAAAGAAACTCTTATTTAGAATATCTTTGGACCACGTCCTACTCAGTTCAATCCTAATCTGGTTAACTAATCAGATTAG